TATTTAAAAGGTATAATAGCATAGCAATAGGTTTTAAACCCTAAAACTTTTTCTTAAAGTCAAACTACATTAAACCCTTGATTATAATATTTTCTTTATAATAAAAATTTCATAATATGTAATAAATTTTTAAAAAAATAATATACTAATTTTACCTCTTCGGGTGACGAGTATTCAACTATTTCCGTACATAAATTACTGCATTTGATGGTCCCTAAATTTTGCTGATTAGATTTTCTGTTACATGCATCTTTGTACAACATATAAGGAGTCCCTGTTTCTACTTGTGATTCAATTATTGCGTACCATAAACTCTGAGCTTTAACTTTTTTAACATAAAGACCTTTTTCTTCGTAACTGATAAAAAAAAAAAAATTTGTTCAAATTACATATAAAAAACTTGCCAATTTTACATATATTCTAATTTAAATTAATTTGATTTCAAATTTGTGATTATTAAATTTTGATCAAGATAAATCTCTACTTGTTTTATAAAATTTTTTCATATACATATTAAAAGTTTTAAATTTTGTAAAATATTTCAATAAAAGATAATTATTTCATTATTTTAGTGACGGCAAAGGATAACTAAAAAAATTACTTAAATTACATTGAGTTTATACCTGAGGTAAAGTTTATTAAATTCTTCACCCCAACAATCTGATAACCCTGGGCAAATTTTGGGACACATAAGGCACCACTCTTGATTTTGTTCCACTCTTTCCATAAATAAATCTGGAATCCACAAAGCATAAAACAAATCACGTGCTCTGGTTTCCTCTTTACCGGTGTTCTTTTTTAGATCTAAAAATTCAAAAATATCCGCATGCCAAGGTTCTAAATAAATAGCAAAAGCTCCAGGTCTCTAAAAAAGAAATATAAAGAAATAAAAAAATTCTTTTATTTTAACTTAACAATCCAAAAAATTTTTAACCTAAATTAGTTTTTTTTTTTTAAATTTAAGCTAAAAAGTAATTTAATGTGATACCTTATTTCCTCCTTGATCAACATATCTAGCTGTGTTGTTAAAAACTCTTAGCATAGGTACTATTCCATTTGATATTCCATTTGTTCCAGCTATATAGGTACCTTTAGATCTGATACAATGAATATTGACACCAATACCCCCAGCTGATTTTGATATTAATGCACATTGTTTTAAGGTTTCGTAAATACCATCAATACTATCTTCTTTCATTGTGAGCAAAAAACAACTAAAAGGAAATAT